GCAGGTCAGACATTGGGGTTCAAACTCATAAAACCATCCCATAAATCATGGAATCCCACCAAAGAACCACAAAGTGATCCCGTCTGGAAAGGCAGGACCCCTCTGCCTCCTCCCCGGGGGCTCTTTCACAAGCACGGAGGGCTCGGCCCCCAAAAGGACTGGGCTGGGCCAGGCCAAGCAATTCCCAAGTGCAAGAGGGAAGAAAAGCAGCCTTTTCCCAGAACCCCAGTGCCACAGGCAGAGAGAAGGGACAAATATTTACTCAAAGCACCTTCCAGGGCTAAGAGAGAAAAAAAATCAAACACTGCAGAGCCCCACCTGGGTGTGAGTGGGCTCTCACCTGCCTGGCACAGCCAGGGAGCAGCCCAGGAGCTCTGTCTTACCCCCACTCCGGGCATCAGGAGTGCAGAAACAGGTCTCAGTCTCTCAGTTTTTAAGAGAAAGGAGCCCTGTTTCTGTAAAACAGACATTTGGGTAGGGTGAGGTGGTGTCCAAAAGCACCCTCAGCTGGATTTGGGGTTGTGACAGGTATCCAGGTGCTGGAAGAGGTAAGAAACTGCCCCTGGCAAGTCCCACCATAGGAATTTTGATTCCTAGAGAAGCGTGAACACTCCAGGGTGGGATCTGTGCCACAACATGACATCCCACTGCGATACCCAGCACTCTGGGCACTCCTGATCATCCACCTCCAGGCATCTCCTCCCAGAAGAGACCTCACACCCACCCACAGCCCCCTCCCACCGGCCCCCACCCCCCTGCCCCGGAGGGAAAGGGATTTGCACGTTATGGAAGAGTGGGATTTGCACGCTATGGAAAAGTCCAGCTGGCAGAAGCAAACACGACAGGCCTGAAGGCAGCAGAAAGCCAAAGGGAAGGGGGGTTGCTACACACCGAGCCCCAGGGGAAGCACTCACTCTGCCCGCTCCTCCTCCCCGCCGGGCGCTCAGCACGCCCAGAACCTTCCACTCCTCATCCCCTCCGGCCGCAGGGGAAAGCGCTGCTGGTGCCCGGGAGATCCAGGCCGGGCCGCTGGAGAGCAAACCCCGCACCAGTTCAGCCCAGTTCGCTTCCTTCCAGCTTGTCTGGGAGCCGGTAACGCTGCAGAGGAACTCGGAGTTCCTGCCGAGGCTTGACACGCTCGGCTGGAGGGGCTGGAGCCGCCGAGCCCGCAGCTCCCTCTTCTGTCCAGCGAACTCCTTGGCAGCCGCTTTGTCCCGTTCCGGCAGGAATTTCGGCTCCCTGGCTGAGCAGCTCCCGAGCCGTCACCTTCTCCCCCCTTGCAGCCCGGGAAGGCGCCGGGAGCTGGAAGGATTTGGGGTTAAAACGCTCCGCAAGCCTTTGGATGAGTCAGCGCTGCGGTTTTTCGGAGGACAGGCAAGTGTTTCTCGGGCAGGGATTGTTTCTGTGCCCTGTCCCTGGGCTGGCCATGCCCAGGAGCTGTTGTTGGACCGCAAGGCTCCAGTGCCAGGAGCTGCTGGAACAATGGGGCTGTGTTTCCTCCTGGACATCCAGGGCTCTCCTGGAGGCCCTTTGCAGTTCCAGGGCTTCCTGCCGGGAGCCTCTTTTCTCCTGCAGCTCCCCCACGCACATAATTAGGGACTATTTTGGGCCCTTATCGGAGATGCCTCGGCGCTGATTAGCCTGGACTTCCTTCCTCCCATCCTCAACCTGCTCCAATATCGACTCCAGCAGCGCTAATTTGATCATATCAGAGGAGCTTTGGAGGCATCAGGGACTCTCAGAGTGCTCAATTTGCAGCTGGCAGCAGCAGGGCTGATAAGAACCAGCCATTTCTCCTCATGTCCATCTCTTTTCCGTGCCAGCCACGTGCTCAGAGGGAGGACAAACCCTTGGAGGCTCCCACTTTTATTTCAGTGGATAAACTGGAGCTCAGCACTGAGGCAAATTAAATTAATTTTTTCTAATTATTTCTATTTAATTTTCTGCATTAAACAAACTTTTTTTAAAATATACTACACTATTAGTAAAAAAGTTGCACATTACTGCAAAAATAGTTACTTCAAAATTACCTGGAATGGTCTGAATTTTTAGATTCTCCTCCTAAACCAGATCTAACACCCCACAACACACAGAGACCCCCCCAGAGAAAACCACCTGGAGAACATTCTGCCCCTTCTCTGCACCCTGAGACTGAAAACAAGGTTTACATTTACAGATAACATGAAAAATGTTTATTTGCGAAATACATCAAACTACAAAAAAAATCCCCCCCCCCGAGGAAGGGGCAGTTCCCACCCCTGACACAGCCCCAGCTGTCACAGCTCCCTCCCCACTGCCCAGTCCTGCTCCCACTGACACTTCAGTCACTCCAGAGCATTCCAGCCACTGCTGTGAAGAACAAATCCTAGTTGGAAACACTTTGGAGCAGGGTGATGTTGTCCCCTTTCAGCATGATCCGACCTGCAACACAAGGGAAACAGGGATTGGAGAGACCACAGAGCCATGGAATGGTGTGGGTTGGGTTAAAGCTCATCCAGTGCCACCCCCTGCCATGGGCAGGGACACCTTCCATAGCCCAGGGACACCTTCCATAGCCCAGGGACACCCTTCCATAGCCCAGGCTGCTCCAAGCCCTGTCCAACCTGGATTTGTTACAGCTGTTTGAAAGCCCAAATGTGCTCTCAGGCCCAGACACGTTTTCCTGCACATTCAGCAAATCCACCAGCTCGGGAAACAGCAGGAACTGAGCCCAGTGTCTGTTCCACATGAGCTTCAGGCTCCCACACCTGGATTTCGGGTCCCACACTTGGATCCCAGGCTCCCTCAGGTCCCACAGCCACTCTGACCTACCCAGCTGCTTCCTGGACTTTGTTTTGGAGTGAATCTCCTCTGCATCATCCAGCACCAGGTTCATGTACTCATCAAAGCCCTGGGAACAGCACCAAACACAGTCAGGGAGGTAAAATTCAGCAACCACCACACAAACCCTCCTCAGCTCTGCAATTAAGGCTCTTTACAGGAGAGACATTCTTGGAAAACAACAGAAAAAGAAGGAAGAAATGAATTTATGAACCTGAACCCCCTCCCCAAATGATCAAGGAGTGACAAGGGAACAGTGATACTCACAATGATGCAGCCTTCTATCCTCATGTTCACCTGCTCATAGAGCCACACCTGGATCCTGGATCTCTAAAAATCATGGAGAGGGAGAGTAAAACAGGAACATAAACACCCCAAGCAGTTTGTTCCCTCCTGGGCACCCAGGGCTCCTCGCTGCCAACAGCCACTGCAGCTCTCAGAGGAGTCTCTCTGTTATGTCCTCTGGTGTTTTTGATGTTTTGTCAATAATTAATTATATAATAATAAATAACAGTTAATAAATACTAATTAACAATATTTAATAATGAAACACAGGACAGCAGAGATTTTTAATTGTCACAGGGAAACAGTGGAAGGTGTCCCTGCCCAAGGCAGGGGGTGGAACTGGAGGCTCTTCAAGGTCCCTCCCAACCCAAACCACGCTGGGGTTCTGTGAAAACATCCCACACCCCGGACTGCAGGATCAACACCTGTTACACAGGTAATTCCTGGCTGGGGGAAGGAAATGTTGAGCTGTTCTCACCCCTCTGAATGACTGTGAGTTCCTCAGTTCCACCGAAACCGGGTCAAAACCCGAATTATTAACAACCCCAGCACAGGCCACGTGCTCAAGGAGCACCAGACACTCCCCAAACGGTTTTAAACTGAGACAAAATAGATTTAAATTGGATAATGGGAAGAGGTGCCACCCCCAGGTACTCACGTTCTGCAGGTATCGGAAGATCAGGTTCTGGAGGGGAGGGTTAAGGTAAGCACGGCCAGGGACCCCCGGGGACACAGCCCGGGGGGGCGAAACCCACGGTCCTCGGGGGAAGGAACCCCGAGGGATAAAACCCGCGACCCCCAGGAATGGAATCCTCTATCCGGGAGGTGAAACCCGCGAAACCTCGGGAGCTGAAACAACCTGTGACCACCCGGGACTGAAACCCGCGACCCCCAAGTTACAACCCCCCCGAGGGATCCCACCCACGGCCCTGACGGGGAGAGCCGCGCTCCGCGGCCTGGAACCCGCTCTCCGCCGGGTGCCCCCCGCGACCCGCGGCCCCCTCCCGGCCGGCAGCCCTCGCCCCCCGCGATCTCCCCGCGTTCCCCTTGCGTTCCCCCCGCGTTCCCCACGGGCCGTGCAGGATACGATGGGCTGCACCATCACCTTCTGCACCTTCTGGCCCTGCCCGCGGTACGCCATGGCTGCCGCTCCCTCACAGCGCGCCGGGGCCGCGGGGCACTCTGGGAGAGCGGCGGACTGCGCGGCCCGGAGGACCGCGGCTCTACTGCTCCGGGAGGGCGGGAAACCGGGAATGTTCGGGGGGGAAAATCATGGAGTCCAACCTCTGAGCGATCACCGCCTTGTCACCAGAGCGCTGTTAATCAGAGGGCCATGTCCAGTCGTTCCTTGGACTTCACCTCCCTGGGCAGCCCCTTCCAATGCCTGACCACCCTTTCAAGGAGGAAATTCCTCCTGATGTCCAACCTGACCCTCCCCTGGCACAGCTTGAGGCCGTTCCCTCTCCTCCTGTCCCTTGTTCCCTGGGAGCAGAGCCCGACCCCCCCGGCTCCCCCCTCCTATTAGGGGGTTGCAGAGCCAGAAGGTCCCCCCTGAGCCTCCTTTTCTCCAGGCTGAGCCCCCCCAGCTCCCTCAGTTCTCCTGCTGCTCCAGCCCCTTCCCCAGCTCCAGCCCCTTCCCTGGACACGCTCCAGCCCCTCAGTGTCCCTCCTGAACTGAGTGACCAGAACTGGACACAGGATTTGAGGTCCCTCAGCAGCACCAGCACAGGGGGACAATCCCTGCCCTGGTCAACCCCCCTGAGCCCCCAAATCCCCCAGACCCCCCTCCTGCGCTTTTTTATTTATAAACACTCGGCTACAGGGAAGGAGGAGGCGACCAGACGGTGTTTAATACAATTCCTTAAATAAAATACACATAGAAACCAGAACCAGGAGGTCTGTACAGACATGAGCGGGGCGGGCGGAGGTGACCAGCCTACGTTTAATACCTTAAATAGAATACAAATATAAAATGGAAGAATAAAATATTTACAGAAACCATGGTATACACCAAAATCCCGCCTCCACGGGCTGATAGAGGAGGAGGAAACCTTCCATGCCCTCTTCCTCTCTCCCAGAGTCATTCCATGGGCATGTGAGACGGATGCTGGCGGACGTCACGGCGTGAGGAATTCCTTCAGCAGGATGAAGGATCGGCAGCTCAGGGGAGCAATCCTTGGAACCAAGAGGCACTTAAACCAATCCTTCCTTTCCCAATTCACTGCAGACGACGAGAGGAATCCTGGCTGCCCACCCCAGGATCCTGTTCCCATCGGGAAAAAGCACCCTGATAATTCAAAGTAAGGCTGGATGGACACACCCCAGCCACCGCCCTTGGCAGCGTGTTTGGTCCGAAATACTAATTAATCTGCTCCCTCCCCCCCCAGCTTTGTCATTAATTCCCCTAATTAAAGTCAAAATGACAGCGTACAGCAGTAAAACTCAAGAGTTGACATAGTAACTCCAGGCTTTGGGTACCAACTGTCCACGGGATCCGAACACGAAGTGCTGAAATGTGCTGAACGTTGGGTCGTGCCAGGGAGGGGGGAAGGTGGAAGCTTTTGTTTGAAGCCTTCAGAGCGTCACAGGATGAGCAGATCAGTTCACAACCACCACAGTCCGGAGATGGGATCTCTGTGTCCCCCAAAAAAACCACAAGTGCTTTGTCCACTCCGTGTGGAAGGAGCCACCGACAGTCCCAGGGAAATTCAGGACAAGTGCAGATCCTGCTTAATCCTGCCCATCCAACTGTGCCTTCAGCCTCAGCTAGGAAAGGATCACCTCCACGTATCCAACAAAATATACAGGTTTGGGGGTTGTGTAGGGGGAGAGTTTATGGTTGGGTTTTTTTTGGTGTTGTTTTTTTTTGTCTTTTTTTTTTTTTTAAGACTGTGCAGTTCAGCTGTCAATCATCTCCGAAAGTTCCAGAAGGAGGTCATCCTCGTCCTTCCCTGGGTCCAGGTCAATCTCTGCTTCCAGTTTGCCTCCTGAGATTTCCCAAATGAGCTTCTCGAAGTCATCCTCCACAGACAGAGGTGCTTTGGCAGAGCCCGTGGAGCTCAGCCGGCGCAGCTTCACCGGCACTTCTGAGGAAGCTGAAGTCGAGCTGGAGACCTCTGACTGTGCCAGGGAGTCTGCCTGGCTCCCGAGGTGGAGCTCAGGGCTGGCAAGAACAAGAGGGAACATCAGTGTGTGACATTCCTTACCTGGAATTTAACCCTCCTACATCTCAACCTCACACGGGGATTGTGATTCAGTTAACCTGGGACTACTTTTAGAGTCCAGGATCAGCAGGTACAGTTGTCAGTTTGGGGATTTATCCATGAAGAGACTTCTGGAGTCTGGGAAAGACAGGTCAGTATTTGTAGCCAGAGAGACTTTTCCACCTTTACTGATTTGACCATAAAAAGGGGAAGAAGTGAACCTCTACAGGCACTCAGAAAACCCAAAGAGTCACTGAAAAGCTGTACCCAAGTACAGCATTTTAAGAAAACCACCTAAATAAGCATTGCTGCTACAAAACTTACTTCAAATTAATTGTTTCTTTGTTGGGATTTTGGCACTGATTACCTCGAAACTCGAAATTTTCCACACGTGAACAAACCCACCTGTTTCACGTGAAAGTGGCAGAGATCAAGAAAAGGGACAAAGGTGTGACTGTTACCTGCTTTGAGGTTTTTCCCTCCGAGGTATGGAGACCAGGCTGTCCTCTGGCAAAGCAGGAGCCACGGCCTGGGGAGAAGGAAGACAGTAAAAATCTTCCCTAGATATTTCAGTTTTCCACCTTTTCTCCCAGAAGAGGGTGAGATTTGGCCATAAATGTTCCTGGGGACCCCCAGCTGGCTCGAGCACTGTCCTTACCGCAGCTGCTTTCTTGGCTGAGGGCTCCTTGGTGTCCCCACCGGTGGCACTGAGGGGCTTCACGGCCACCACGGCAGTGGGGTGGCTCTCGGTGCCCTTGCGTTTCAGGGCCTGCCTCGGGGAGGACGTGGCTCTCCCATCCAAAGGCTTCAGGCACACCTTGGATTTGGCTGGAAGAGAAGGAAGAGTGAGATGGCACAGCCTTGCTCTGCCTTGGGTCAAAAAAACAACAGGTTCTTAATAGTCCCATAATTATAGAATTGGAAAATAGTTTGGGTTGGAAGGGACCTTAAAGATCATCCTGTTCCACGCCCTGCCATAGGCAGGGACACCTTCCACTAGCCCCAACCCAGCCTTGAACACTTGCAGGGCTGGGGCAGCCACAGCTTCTCTGGGCAACCTGTGCCAGGGCCTCCCCACCCTTACAGGGAAGAATTTCTTTTGTGTATCAAACCTAAATTTCCCCTCTTTCAGTTTGAAGCCATTCCCTCTTGTCCTGTCCCTCTGCTTCCTGATGAACAGTCCCTCTCCAGTTGCCTTGTAGCCCCTTCAGGTCCTGGAAGGTGCTGTGAGGTGTCCACACAACCTTCTGTTCTCAGGCTGCACACCCCCAGCTCTCCCAGCCTGTCTCCACAGGGGAGGTGCTCCAGTCCCTTTATTGGCTCCGAGACCCCTCCTGGGCTTCCTCCACCACTTCCACCTCCTTCTTCTGCTGGGGGCACCAGAACTGGAAACAGGACTCCAGGTGGGGTCTCAGCAGAGCGGATCAGAGGGGGTTCTCCCCTCCCTTGCCCTGCTGGCCACGCTCCGTTGGACGCAGCCCAGGATTTGGTTTGGTTCCAGCACACGTGGCCCTTCTCCCCAGGCTGCTCTCATCAACACACCCTGAGCTGACACTCAACACTCACTTTTAGCTTTCCTTTCTGGAGGCTGGGCTGCCTTTTTCCCTGGGGACACTGCAGGGTCCTTCTCTGGGCTTCCCACCCCATCCTCCTGAGGCTTCACCAGTTTCCTCCTCCCCAGCTGATAAGCTGGTCCTGAAACCACAGCAGATTCAGGGCTCCCTGATGGGGGAGTTTTCTCCTTGGCTGGTTTCTCCACTGGGGTTGGCACAGCAGCTGCTTCCTTCTGAAGCTTCTCCTGGCGTTGCTTCAGCTGTCGCTTCTCCCACATGATCTCCTCCAGGCTCTTCACCTGCACTGTGGAATTAGCTGCACTCTGACCAGAGGGCTAAAAAAAAAATTAAAAAAGAAAAGGATTATTAGGACAAAAATCTAAGGAGATTCCACTAGGAAAATCTGGGTGGCAATCCCTCCAAAATGGCTCCATGTGGGACCATTGAAATCCAACATTTTTTGTGTAAAATGTTGCCTGTAACAAGATCCCTGCTTTGCTCTGGTAATAATGTTTCAAAAGCCTGCAATTCCCAACACAGCAAGCTGCTTTCATGGAGCAGAAGACTCTAGCTGTACTCTATCCATTCTTTTTAAGGACTACAAAGCCATACAAGCTCCCCCATACAGCCTGATGTCCTCTCGTGAAACCTCCAGCCTTTGTCATTGAAATACTCAGCTCAGAATTTCAAGACATGCCCAAAGTTTGCCAGAGAAAGCCACTGAGAACAAAACCATTCTCCCCACATTAACCTCTCGTGCTAAGAGGTTTCATTGTGAGGTACAATCAGAATAATTCCAGGTTTTAGTTCAAATTAATGAATTAATTCAAAGTGAGGGTTATGATGTTGTCTGGAAATGCTACTGGAAGTGACAGGACCTGGGACTTCACTGCAGCAAATACCAAATGAGGAAAGGTAGGAACACATTCCAACTGGGAGCAGGAAGTGAGTTTACACACAAAACATGGCAAAATTTATCAGAAATTTTATGTACAAATGTATATATCGAAGTTTTCACAACAGACTCACCTCTGCAGGTGCAGAGACAGTTTTTGGAGAAGGTTTGTTCAATTCCACTATCATTTTTTCTTCTCTTCCAGGTGCTTTAAAACAAGCAGAAGGGAAAAATAAGTATTTTGTCAACAGCAGAGGTAAAGAAACCTGGTTTCCTTGGTGTGTTTATTTTCTCATGTCTCAGGACAGAGGGAAAGGCTACAGGAAGCAATTCCTGAAGCTTCTCATCTCTCCCTCAATCTCTTTTTATGTGGTTTATATAATCTTAACGATGAGGTCTTTAATGCCCTCGTTAAGAAGCTGATACATCCTTCCCAAACACACATACATCAATAAACACATATTCCAGAGAGGAATGTAACCCTGGATTCAGCACAGGGAAGATCCCATACCACAAACCAATGGCAGAAAAATACAAGAGAGAAATCAGACCACAAAGCTCCTCAAGGAATGAATTTTCCAGTGGGAAATACGGAAAACTATCACGTAGTTTGTGGAATACAACAAGGTCCCTTTGACCTTGGTATTCACAGAAGGAAAAAGCAAAGTGAATCCTGAGGAAACGACTCATTTCCCCAGGGAAGCACTTCCCCAGGGAGGTACCTCCTTACCTATGAGCTTTGTGACCCGCAGGAGTTTCCTCCCTCTGAGGGCAGGCTCGGGCTGTGCAGGAGGAGCTGGCACATTCTCCCCGCTCTGCTGCATCCTCAGAGCTTTCTCCCTCTTGATCTCCTCCAAGGTTTTGATCCTCACTTCTCCCGCTGGCTTGGCTCTCCCTGGCTCTGCCAGCTGCACCCTGCCGGGCACGGCTGGAGCAGGAACGCTCCTCCTGGGCTCTCCCTCAGCTTTTGGCTTGGCAGGAAACTCCTCTGGGTTTTTTTCCTTCTCTTCCTCCAACCTCTTGTGGTTCTTCTCCGCCAGGGCTCCCGAGAGGGATTTGATGCGGACGGGGGGGGCAGGTCTGGTCCCTGAGCTGGGCTCCTCCACCCTCCGGGCCTCGCCGGGGGGCTTGGCCGGGGGCTCCCCCCGCCTCTGGCTCGCCCTCTCCAGCCGAATCTCCTCCAGGGTCTTCACCCGGATCTCCTCGATGGGCTTGGCAGCCTTCTCTGCCAGCAGCAAAAAAAGGGGAGCACCAGTGTTTAAACAGAGTCCAACAACATTGAGTCTCCAAAATCTGTCACAGCACTAAGGAGAGGGGGTTTGATGCTCTTCAAGATGATGCATCTGAGGTCAGTATCCTCTGCATAATCATGGAATGGGTTGGGTGGGAAGGGACCTTAAAGCTCACCCAGTTCCACCCCCTGCCATGGGCAGGGACACCTTCCACTAGCCCAGGTTGCTCCAAGCCTTATCCAAGCTGGCCTTGGACACTTCCAGGGCTGGGGCAGCCACAGCTTCTCTAGGCAGCCTGTGCCAGGGCCTCCCCACCCTCACAGGGAAGGATTTATTCCTAATATCCAATCTAAACCTACTGTCTGTGGGTGTAAATCCATTCCCCCTTGCCCTGTCACTCCAGGCCCTTGGAAATAGTCTCTCTCCATCTTTTCTGTCGGCTCCTTCAGGCACAAATAGATCACCCCAAAGCCTTCCCTTCTCCAGGCTGAACAATCCCAATTAACAATAACATTCTCCTCCTCTTTTAAACCACCTGAATTTTGAAAACCAGAACCAGTTCTTTTGTTACTTCTTAGGCCTTGTCTATCCATGGGCATCCCAAACCCCTGCTCCTGGGAATGGTTCTATCCTACTTGTGTGTGAGCAACTGCAGCTTCTGATGGATTAGGAGCATCAAACCTTGATAAGACACATGTGGGAGCCACCTCTGTGACAGCAGCCTCAGGACAGCTCAGCACCCCAGCAAGGGGCAGCAACTCTTTAAAATTAACTTTTAGGGCACTATGGAAGTTCATGGAAAGAAAAAAGGGGGAGCTGTATTTAATATCCAGTTATTACCTGTCTCTGTACTGCTCTGGTCAGAGGGCTGTCCCAGCCTCTCCCTCAGGGACTTCAGCACTTGAACTAAAACACAGAACAGAAAAGGTGAGGGAGACTGCACAAATCCTGATTTTGTGAGATGAGACAGGAGATCACTCCAGTGGGATTCAAAGTTACCTTGAGCCCTCAACCAACATGCAAAAAGAACCACTAGAAGGAGGAACAGAAAACCTAAGCAGAAAGTGTGGAGTGTAAAATCCAGGTGTGTTTGGTACCTGTGCCTCTCCTGGGGGCTTTCTCAGCATTCTCCAGCAGCTCTGTCTTCCTGCCCAGCCTGTCAGCAACGTTTCGCCTCAGAGGAAGGAAGGTTTTACCAGCTTCACAAAGACACAAAGGGGAAAACACTTTCAGAAGGTTTCTCTGCAGGAGGATTTTCCAACAGTCAGCCACAGACTTCAATCCTTCCAGGTTTATTTCCTGGTATTTGCCTTTCAGTTGCTAAGAGAATTTGGTGGGTTTGCAATCAATGCACATCATGTTATTTCCTCCCCAAAAATACCTTCCAGTATCACCATGTTTAGGTGAGGGCACCTAAAGAGCAGCTCACAAAAAGCTCTCACCTATGAGAGTTTTCCGTTTTCCCAGTCTGTCAGGAAGATTCAGCTGGATCACAGGATCCTCTCCTAAAACAAAGAATCATCTCTTCAGTGCACAGAAACCAGCAGCCAGTAAAAGCATCATCCTTCCAGCCCATGACCCTAAAAATGACACTCCTTTGGTAGCCAAACCCCATAACTAATAAATGACTGTGAGTAGAAGTGGTTCTACATGTTTTTTGCCTTTAAAAGGAATTTATAATTTCCTTTAAAATTAATTTATCACACAACTGCCACTGTCAGCCTCTTCAATGCTTCAAAAATTTGCTACTTGTATAATTCCATCTTCTCTATCTTCCCTTTCATTACTCCTGTTTTTAATTAACCTCTTCTCTGCACTCTCACTCTTGCTTTGCCATCAGCCTCTCCCTGCTGCTACTGCACTTCTACAACTCAACCTCCAAGTGAAATGTAACACATTTGAGAGTCTGGAGGATGTGATAAGATACGATCAGTTATGGCTTAATGAGAAAAACCTCTCCTTGATCTTTTAGTGCAACATAACAAATCCAGCACCTACAGATTCCAACCCTTTCCAACACAACCAGGGCCTTCAAGCATGAAGTGGTTTGAATTAGAAAAGGCAGCACCACATGTGTGAGTTAATTATTACTGAACAGTTTGATTTAGGAGCCGTGAAATGGAAGTTCTTACCTTCCTTTGAGGACAGAGTCACAGTTCTCAGCACTGTCCTGACGTTTTCCTTCTCTGGCACAGGAATTGTCCGAGCTTGGAGTGGATCAACAGCAACTCCTGAGGGACCTTCTGATCAGAGCATGGAACAAATACGGATGTTTAGGGAAACAACCCAACCAAACAAAACAGAAGAACCATCACAGAGACCAAGAACATCAGTTACTCATTACTGCCAAACACACAACAAGCAGTACATGTAAATAAGAGAGATGAGCAGTTTCCCTTGGATTTGCCCTTGGAATTCCAAGCAGGAACACCAGCTGCTTCAGAAACAGCTCACATGCCAAAGCAGCTCAAGGCCCCCAAAAGTCTGTCCTCCAAGCAGCTCTCAGCTGCAATAACCATCTCCCACTCTGAGCCCCCCAAAAAAACATCCTTCTCCTGCAAATTCCAGCTATTCAAGTAATAACAGAAGGATTAAAAACAAAGAGAAGGTGAACAGAAGGCAGAAGGACAGGAAAATAGGGGGTATTAACTCACCACCTTGCTTTTTGGCTTTTTCCTTTAGTTTCTTCAATTTGATTTCTTCGAGTGTTTTTATTCCGAAATTTAAATTGTCATCTGAAAGCAGAGAACAGTTCACGAAACTGAGGCTTAAAGGCATTTTGAATAAACCCTGTCAACACTCCCCATGAGTAAAAACAGCCCCAGAACAGATGGTATTTTGGTAAGGAATTGGCACCTTCCTTCACCCTCCTCCATCCTACAGGGTAACATCTCCACTTTCAAGCATCAATGTAATGTAGAGGGATTAAAGATTCCTCTGGCATTTGCACAATGTCTGAAAGGACACATCTGCAGGCATTTAAACTCCATGTTGTGGCTCTGTTTTGTTCCACAAAAGCAAACCAGGAGGAGTTTACCTCCTTGGGACATATGACATTATTAGATGGAAATCACTCCCTTCAGTGACCTCATGTTCTATTGTGTTTTTAGAACATATTGCTTTCAATTGTCAAATTCTCCTTCCAATCCATCCTCCTACAGCTGCTGGAATACCTTGCTTTGTATTAGCATTGGATTTCCTGGTGGAAATCAGCCTCAATCCATTATGGGCTTCTGTGGCTGGCTGCTGGACAGGTGTTTTAGTTTCTTCTCCTTCTTCAGAAAGCTGGTCTGAAAGGCAAAAATAAACCAATTAATTTATGGAGTAGGGATCAGACATGATTCTTCATGTTTATGCAGCTCATACAATGACATTTCAACCCATAAAGATATTTAGGACTCCAGACTCTTGCCTGTAGTTTTAACCACTCACTACAAAATTCAGGTATTATGTGATTTATATATTCATTTACAGTAGAAATACCCTCAGTAAATAAAAAATGCTCACCATCATCATCTTCATCATCATCTGCAGCATTGATGACAACTGGAGGGTGTGTAGGACTCGGGACATTTTCTGAGTTCTCCACTTTCATCACCCCCCTCAGCTGTGGGGAGGGGTTGGACTGCACAGATAGTTTGTTTTGCTGCAGCGACATCTGAGCCATTTTCCCATCGTCTTCTGCAGACTCAGGTGGACTTGGGAGTGTGGCTGAGGAAAAGGAGATCATCTGTCACCTGGCCAGGTCAAACTCTGACCCCAGTGTTGGAGGTATGACAGGGAAGGTAGATAAGATAAACCCACCTGGCTACTGAATTTAGTTTCCTTATTCCCCACCCCTGCTTACACTGTGGTTTCCTTCCCACACCCACCTCCCCACCCAGAAAGGATTAAATGAGGGGAAAGGAACCTGAAAGGCAAAGATCACAGAGGAGCTGAGCATGAAAATAAAATTAAACCCCAGAACTACATTCCATTCAGCTGAGAGCCTGTGACTGCAGACTCCTCCCTGCACTCATGAATGACCAATTCCCACAGCCTCTACAGTGTTTTACCCCATCCTAAGCAATATTCACGACTAAATATTGAATAATCACAGAAAATGGAGCTGAGAAACTCACTTTTGCTCGGGGGTAGGAAGAGCCCATCGACGTAACGGCCTTTGGTGTGATGGAAAGCACAGTTGGATTTCTGGCAGCCCCCGGGCTGGTTCTCCCAGTAACAGGCGATCTCACTCCGCTTTTTCTGAGGGAAGGGACAAACCCAAGCTCAGACTTGCAAAGAGATTCACTTTCATAACGTGTCAGAGACAGGACTGTTGCAGGGCAGTGCTGAAATGCCAGTCCAAATGTCAACTTCTCGCTAAAAATATTTCAGGGCATATAAACAGAGTTTGTGGAGGGGGGGGAACAACTAAATATTGTCTGGCTTTGCTTTCCTGTCACTCAGCTGGGGAAGACAGGCCAGCCTGACACATGAACTCAGGGTTAAACTAGTACAAAATCCAAAATAATGGGATTACTCAGAGGGAAAAATGGCTTCAAATGCCCAGGTTAAATCCACCTGAATTTATCTTTCAGAGCATTGGTTCCTTCCCATCTGATTTCTCCCCTCCCTCTACTGCTCCAAGAGGTTGGGATAATGTTATCTGAAGGCAGAAGGAACCTGCCAGGCCATTTTCCAGCCCAGCCCTCAGGAGGCTGTTTCCCAGCACATTTAAGCCGTGTGATCCACGGGGTTGCTTTTACCTCTGATTAAGCAAATAATATCAGCACCTAATACAAACATTTCCCGCCGAGATACACCTCAGAAATCGATTTTTCTTCCCCCCCCCCCCAGTGACCAATATCCCTTTAAAGTAGGTAAATCTATCCTGTAAAAGCACATTCACCCACCCACAGCACTGAAAAATGCTGTCAGTGCTTTGTTCTGCAAACACTCACATCGATTTCCATGTGTCTGAACCTGCAGACATTCCTGAAACAACGACCCTCCTGCCAGAGGGTGCAGACGGTCTCACTTCCCAGAGCAGCCTCACAGTGGCGGAAGGCACAGCTGTCTCCCTGGAATCCAAAGGGAAGCAGGAAAAAAAAGGGATATAAAACCAAAGCAGGAAAAAAAAAAGAGATATAAAACCATCCAGCCTAAAAAAATGCCCACTTTATTGGAGCTGGAAGCAGTTAATTGAGTTAACAGCAATCTGTGTGTCTCCTCACGTGCTTCCTCCTCCTCGCTTATAAACTAAGAAGGGAAAAACCAAATCCCAAAGGAAAATGCTCCCAAACACACCTTGTTGCACGTGGAATAGAAGTAGAAGTAGCAGTCGTCTCCCTGGTTAGACATAATGGATAAATTCCTGGAATGAGCTCGCAGGGTTTGCTCTCAGGGTCTTCCTCCAGACTTGGCAAGAACTGGCTTCACTTTTCTGGGACTCAAAGTCTTCTACTGGCTTAGAAGTGAAATCTTCTTTTTAAAAGTAACCCTGAAGAAAGGGATCAATAAGTGACAAATAACTGAGTAATGAGCATTTTTACAGCTGTTTTCTCTTAGACAAATTTATCTCTTGAGGGGAGCAATGTGTTGAAATCAGCTGGTCACAAAAACTCTGCCAAATTTGTGGAAAACCACATGAATGTTGTCAGCACAAGTCCTATTCTGTGATTTTAATCACAGTTATATATTTTGGAGCAGAGAAAAAACTAGTGTGTGGCTGTAAGCCTAAAAGTGAGCCACTTCTTAAAAAACTGGTCATAATTTTGAGTTATTAATGATGCTGATATAATTTATATTGATAATATAATTGATACTGATATATTGATAATACAATTGGTACTGATATATTGATAATACAATTGGTACTGATATATTGATAATAACTGATATTGATATTACCTTTCAAATTATGCCTTAATAATTACATATAAATAATAATAGTAATAATAACAGTATCTTAATATAATTGCTCAATAATATCACATTAATATGACTTAATAACACCACATCTTAATAATATCCCATCTTTTGAAATGACATTTGAATAATATGACATTTGAACTATTACATGATTAATCAATTATTGACTAATAATTTCTATCAAATACAACAGATACATCAAACATTTTTCCAGTCCCTGTGGATTTTGGGGTTCACACACCTGGACAACTTCAGCACAGACTTTGATCTTCCCAGACATCCAGTTCCCTTCTCCTGTAGGCCGAACCAACACTTGAGTCCATGAATTAATAACAAAGGGGTAGAAAGAATTTTCCTTCTCACATTGCCAAGGGAACCTCTCATCCACAATTCAAACTTAGGATGTGCTCTTAAACATCTTACAACTAATGGAGGAAGCAAGTCCATTGGAACACTGTGAGCCTGGAGACAGCCAGGGTTACTTAGCTCTTCCAAAAAAACCACCAAAAAACCACCAAAAGAAGCCCCAGCGCATTTAAAGATGAACTTGGGATTCAAAGTGGCTGCAAAAATGAGGCTCCATCTTCCACAGCCGGGCAATTTCTAATTTTTTTTTTTTTTTTTTTTTTTAATAATTTAACATTCAGTAAGTTGCAATTTCTGGTCTTCCAAGATTTCTTCACCTATTAAGAAAACACAAAAACCTTCCCCCCCCATCTTTATTACCTGTACAGAAAAGCCCACATTTGTGTGTATAAACCCACATGCACAGATGTGTTTATACACACGCCAGAGGAGGGAGAATAAAGTGAGAGTGAGAGCAAAAAATGAGAATTTCTGGCTGTTTGCCACAGCAAACTGCAGGCAAAGCCTCTCATTTGGAGAAAACTGGGGGGAAAAAATGAAATATCTCCATAATATCTGGATAGGAGTCGGGGGGGATGCTGCCAGGGATTAGTTGGGACGGGGGGTTTTGGGGGCAGCACACAAACATCCCTCCATGCACACGGGACAAACACATCCAGCCAGGGGGGTCCATCCCTCGGGAATGGCTCTAACCCTCAGCAGACAGGTCAGGAGCAGGAAGGATAAAGCAGATCAAGGACACAGCAAGCCTTGGGAAGCAGGGAAGTGCCCCCGGTTGGAGTGGCATGGCTGCATGAAACCACGGGGCGTGAAACGCTTGGATTTTGGGAAATAATTTGGTTTTCCATCACATGCTACAAATTTGCTGTTCCCTAATCCATGTATCCATCATCATATATCGCTGCAGGATCATTTGGAAATGGCTCAGGTCCAATCCAGCTGATGGTTTTTTGGTGCCACCAGAACCCGATTTATTGAGCTACAGCATTTTTTTTTATGTGAGGTCGTACACTTATTTTTATATTCTTATAAAATTAAGATTTTTAGGATTCTCGGTTGATTTTTTTTTTAAATGCCACAAAACCTGCAACCAGACCAGCTAAAATTCAAATAAAAGTGATTTACCCCTTTCACTGCACATTTCTGTGCAAAAGGATTTCGGATTCTTGGGGACAAAACTGAATGAAATCGTTCTTACAGATCAGTAATAAATGGTTGGAACCTTTTACTCACACAAACACTAGTGAATTTTCCAGGGTTTTGGTTTTTTTTTTTTTGGCAAGGAATTTTCCCAAATCTAAAATAAAGAGAGGAAAAGTTGGGTTCTCATACGTGTTATTGTTTTTTGACTGCTTGATAAAGGGAATAAAACAGGAGTTTAAGTGCAAGGTTTCTTTCCCTTCTTCCATATCCATGGGATTATTCACTCTTGACCTTTAGCACCTTCAAAAACAGACTTTGTGTCATCCAGATTCCTCGGAATCTAATTCTAAAAATTCCCGGAGCTCCTACGTGTGGAGGTTCAAGGAGACACATTTTTCCAAGTGCTTTGCTTTTGGGAGTTTTAGATTAAATTTCAAGGCCGAATTCTTCAGTTTGCACAAGGCAACACTTCAATCCATGGTAATTAAGGGCTTGGCTGAGCAAAGGCATTCACACACAAATCACAAGGAATTTCCAGGCTGGAAGGTGGCATTTCCTTTCCTTGGGAAGTGAGACACACCTATAACTCAACATTCCTACATCCACCAGCTTGGGGGGGAAAAAAAAATATCCCTTCAGATTGAGTTCCTTTAAACTAAATCAGCTCAGCAGTTTTCCATATTCCACATTTGGGTTTCCATATTTCCATATTCCTGTTCAGAATTTCAATGGATCTTGTTTAAGGAATGGGAATAAAGCAAAACTTTAAAACAATTAACAATAACAACAAAAAAATCAACAAAAAAACCCACAAAAACCCCAACAAAAAAAACCTTAAAAGTTCTAAACTCCATGAAGGTAATTTAATTATAAAAAAAATTTAATTGAACACCTTTTTTCTTTAATTTTAAAGTGGCAATCTGAGTGCTAAGCAAAAATCAACTGAATTCACCCCAGAAAATCTGAATAAAAATGAGTAACTCTGGTGCACTCAGCGGGCCTCTGATCCAAGTTGATGAGAACTTTAAACACTTTTTTCCCCCAGAACTCCAGTGAAATGTTTGTATTAAGAGATTTTGAACCCATTTTGTAAAAAAAGTACAGCTACAGTAGCTGAGGGTCAGGAAAAACATGACCAAAAGCAACATAAACTTTATATATTTTAAGGGAAGATAAATAATAGAACGAAAACCTGTTCAGTGTATTTTAGAAGCTTCTCCTTCCTGGTACTGCAGAACCAATCCCATTCCCTGGCTGATTTCCCACCTTCCTGACCTGCCTCTGCCCTGGATTGAAGAGCAAGAAGGAAGCAAACCTTTCTGCACCTCAAAAAACACCTGAGAGCAGATTCCTTGCACCACCCTGTGGGGAATTTTTGGTTTTGAAGCCCCAAGATTTCCCTGGAAAAGCTTCTCCTGCTGCTCTATTTGTGCCTTTAATTCCTTACAACAATATTTGATGTTTCAAACCCTCCATTTATCCACTGACAAGGGAGGAGAAGAACCAGGAACTACGTGTTCTACCCCCCTTTACAACCATTCTCACTGTCCACCGGCTTTTCCTCCTCCAACAGGCACCAGGAATCAACCCCAAACCCAGGGAAGCTGCTAAATCCACTCCTGGATGAGACAGGAATAATTAAATAAAACTCTCCCGTTCTTTCCCTGTTTCTGAACTCAATCCCGGGGCCTGGCAGCGATTTGCTGTGAAAACCCCCCCTCCTCACTGAAACGTTTTCCTGAATCCCAAAGAAGCTCAGTTTCCCCTGGAAGCAGCCGCTTGGAAAGGGGCCACTCCAGCCGGGAAGTGACTCCAAGAGGAAGTTTTTCCTGGACACATCCAGGGGCACCTCCAGCCCACCTGCTCAGCTCAGTGTGTGACCAATTCAACCCCGTGGTTCTGTTTCCCTTCCAACCCCCTCCTGTCTCCGGAGATCTCCCTTTTTATAGCCAAAATAAACCAGTTTTACTGTGGAATTGCGGCCCAGAGCTCGATCCCTGGGAACATCCTGGAGGCTCCACTGCAACGGGAAAAAAAAAAAAAATCCCTTCTGGCGCTTCCATAACAAAACCATCGATGGGGAGAAGAAAACAGAAACCTCTCAGCTCCAATCCTTTAAGAAACAAAACCCCAACAACCCCCCCCCGCCCCTGCGCGATGGCGTCGTTTTAAACGCCCTAAAAAGGAGGAATTAAGAACCGGGTGCACCCAGAGTTACTCAGATCCTACGGAACGAGGAGCAATTAGATGACTACACTAGAGATGCCCCTCAAAGGCTTTGCTAGGGCAGGGGAGACAAAAGGTTTTACCTGGAAATAAGGATTTTTATGAAGCAGCTGCTCTGGGGGGGGTGAGGGGGGAAGCCCTGGGGAAGGGCCTGGGGCCTACCCGGGCACGGAGCTCCCCCCTCCCAAAAACCCTGCGGGAGGGAACCCGCCCCATCCCAACCTCATCCCACACCGTTCCCGCCTCACTCCACCTCACCCCGGCCCCCCCCCCGCCCCGGTGGCCGCGGACACCCCTGTGGGGAGAGCGCGGGGAGACGCGGCCTGCGGCCCCCGCGGAACGGGCCAGAGGGGCCATCCCTACGGCCGCCGCGGGCTACCGAGGGGGCTGTTATTTATGGTCGATCAGGGACTTTACCGAGCCCCCGGGGGCCGCCGTGTCCCCGCCGCGTCCCCGCGCTGTCCCCGCGATCCGCCGGGGCCGCCGCCGTCCCCCGCGCCAGGCTCAAAGATGGCGCCGCGCGCACCGGCAACCTCAGCCCACCCGCCGCCAAGATGGCGGCCGGAACGGCTTCAGAGCCCGCCACTTCCGGCCGCCGGCACCGGGCGGGGCGGGGCGGGCGGGCGCCGGAAACACGGCGCGGGCGGGAGGGTTTGCTGTGGGTTTTGGGTTTTCCTTCTCCCCGCCAGCGCCTCAACCCCCCCAAAAACGCTCAAAAAGGGTGCAGAGCCCTTCGCTGCGGGGCGGATGGGATTGTGGCTTCTTCCCCTCCCCGTGCCCACGGAATCTGAGGTTGGAAGCCCCCTCCCAGATCGAGGCCAACCTGTGCCCGGTCCCCACCTTGTCCCCCAGCCCAGAGCACTGAGGGCCGCGTCCAGTCCTTCCTGGGACACCTCCAGGGATGGGGACTCCAAACCTCCCTGGGCAGCCCCTTCCAGTGCCTGACCGCCCTTTCCATGAGGAAATTCCTCCCGGTCCCTAAGAATGATGCTCATCCCCCATTCCAGGGCCCACCTGCCCGACCGCAGCCCCTGAGGTGCCGTCGCCTCCCTCACGCTGTGTCAGGGATATATCCCTTCCATACTGGAAGATGTTTTGAGTTTTCAACCCGTTTTCCCAGCCTCGGGATCCTTCAGGCCGTGCTGCCCCACGAGCCTGGCTGGGTGTTTTGAGTATCAACCATTAATTACTCTGCCCAGATTCTATAGCCCATCACAGACCTCAACCTGCCTCAATCTGTGTTCCTCCTCTCCCTCTTGGTGTGCCAGTGACCCACTTTTCCCTTTTTTTTTGGCTCTGGAGCACCAGGAAAGAGCCATCCCAGGAGCAGGAGCCACGTCCATCCTCGTAGAGAGGGGCCCTGGGCAGCCCAGCTCTGGCACAGCCATTTCCCCTCTCAGTGACTTCAAAATCCTATGATTTGTTTGGTTTCTTTGCATTCAGCCTGGACTATGTTTCCAAAAAAAAAAAAATAGGAAGGATTGTGGCTGTTGTGGTTTTTTAAGAGCTGGGCATGGACACGTCCCTGGGAAAGCAGGGAAGAGGCTGATGCTGCACAGCAAAGCTTTTCCACCCCATTTGTGTCGCTTGGCATCAGCTCCAAGGATCGGCTTGGAGATGTTTTGAACTTTTGGATCCTCACAGCCCAGTGGGATCTTCTCATCATGGTCCTGGAGATACTAAAGACACAGAGAAGCCACTGCCTCTCCATGAAAAACAGCTCCAGTGCGATCAACCTGCTTGGGAAGGAGAGTATTTAGGGGGCTGGTGGCTTTTATTTCCCGTTGTCCTTCTTGTCTGGGCAAAGGGAGGCAAAGTACTCTCGGTATGGAGGCAGGACAGGGCTCAAAGCTGATCTCCAGGACTTGGAGATCACAACCTCCACCAAGGATCACCTCAGAGACACCACATACGGGATTGGGGAAGGGGACAAGGGGAGGAACTGTTCCTGGGGACTGGGACAAGGGAGGATCTGTGCTCCAGGGAATAGGACAAAGCAGGATCTGTGTTCCAAGGGAATGGGACAAAGAGGGATCTGTGCTCCAGGGGAATAAGACAAGGGAGGTTCCGTGTTCCAGGGCAGCTCCACACAGCCCAGCAGCACCAATTTGCTGCCGTTTGATGGCAAATCCTGGACTTTGCTCGGAGGTGGGAGAAGCCACACCCGAGGCAGAGTCCTGGGTGTGACCAGCCAGCCCTGGACACTCAGCAGGGAGGTTTACACAGAGATAAACCCCAACCCCAGGGGAGCTCTGGTGGCAGCAGGGGCCGTTTTGATCCCCATCCCTCCTTCCTCCCCGCAGGCCCCACTCCCACGGGAAGCCCAGCCGTTCCTCCAGCGCTCGGAGAGGGCCTGGGATGGATTTCACAAGCTGCTGGACACACTGAGGAGGTCACAGTTACACGTGGGCACAGTTTATTCTCTGGATGCACTCGCGCATTGTTTCTGCTCAACAGCCAAAGCTTTATTGATTCCAAACCATCCCCCTTCTCCCCCACCCCCAGCACGCCTGGTTTTGAACTGTGTACCCCCTTTTCCCACCCCTCAACCACTCTTCTGCTTCCACTTGGAGTATTATCTCTGCTTGGAGTCTGTTTTGCTCAGAAGAAGCCAACTGACAATTCATTCAAGATTCTTTTTTTTTTTTTCTCCCAAGAACCATATAAATTACATGCAAAACATTGTACATAGAGATTAATATCAAAATGCAATACAGATCAGGTGCACTTTAAGCTGGACTGTAGGATATGGCAAACACACCAGGGTACATATTGCTTTGAAACCACCATTTTTTTTTTTTGTTGTTGTTGTTTAATGTCATGCATACCACATAATATTCAGTCTTTTGTTTTGTATTTTATTTTTTCCCCCGTTTTTTATACAAAAATACCAGTGCTTATTATACTTAGTTACTGGAAAAGAAAAACTCGGCTCTGCGTGCCCTCTTCAAAGGAAAGTTTTGTTGTGAGAGCGCGGGATAAATATATATACACACACATAAATGTTGATTTCATACTGTATATATATATATTTATTGAAGGGGAGGAAATAAACTAAAGGCAGTTTTAGCCATGGGCTTTGCTGGATGAAAATCGGGGCCTTTGGTGAGCGGGAGGAGAGCAGAGCTCACCGGGGGGGGATGCTGGAGAGGAAGAACCAGGGGCCAAAACCCACCTGGTTGGGTGGCTCTGTTTGGGGCAGGTCCAGGAGAGAGGTATCCCCACATCCCTGTGCTCCAAGGGGAGAGCTGGGAGTGCATTTTAGGGATCCATGTCCGTGAACTTGTAGGAGTGGGACGGAGCAGGACACGATGCAGCTACGGGTGCCCTCCCAAAAAAGCTTCCAGGGACTTTGGTGCAGTCCCTGCAGCCAGGGAGAGCAGCAGGACTCGGCTGTGGCACCTTGGAGATGCCCTCCCTGGATTTGGGATGGGGTTTTTCCAGTCACCCCCATCGTGCCCCTCCCCAGCAGCTGGGGCTGAACACTCCAGGCCATCGACTCCTCGCACGAGAAGGGGTAAAAGCCAAAGGCCGCCCATGCTAAAATTTGGTTTAGTTTTTTTCCTTCTTGAGATTGTTTCCGAAATTTCCCTCGAAGCTTATTGCACGAAACCTTTGAAAAAACGAAGTTAAAACTCCCCTGTGCAAACCAGAAAGGAAACCTCAGCACAGAATGCAAAACGCCTCAGAAGCTGCCTGGTCAGCAACGCGCACAAGGGCGTGGTGGGATGTCTTTGGTACCAATCCGCCAATTTATTCCACAGAAAAAAAAAATCCACCACCAGAGACCCTCCTGGGATCAAGAACTGGATGCAAAATTATGTTCAGAGTGTTTTAATAACAAAGCATTCCAAGGCAAGTTAACACGGATCACAGGGTATGACTTCGGTTCCTGTCGGGCACTGTCCCCGTGCGCACTCGTGGCAGTTCAAACAAAGCAAAAAAAAAAAAAAATTAATAATAATATATATATATATATTTATATAGATCTCCCCCTAGTCAAGGCATGTTGCAGAGAGTCCCCAAAAGTTCGTGCCGCCGACCATGCCTTTTGGAGCACCAATCTCCCCCAAATCTTTTGTAAATGTCCTCAATAACTTAAGCCAAGAGTCAGCTGCTGCCAGTATATCACTGAAACAAAAAAAAAAAATAAAACAAAAACCCCCCCCCCAAATACTTTACAGGAAATTTGTACGCACAAGAAACGCTTATACTTGAAGCAACCAGCCATACCAACATAATTTATATATATATATATATAAAAAAAACCCATTTGTGTCACCCAACTAACGTCTAGTAGAAAGATGGCTGCTCAGAGAAAAGGAAGCTGACTGGCATCCGATGGCTGAATTAATTAATCCACGGAATTAATTACCTGTCCCTTGGACCTGCCGTCACACAGTCGCGCCGGGACTCAAGATTTATTTATTTACTTCTCTTTAAACAAAATACATATGGCTGACGTAAAAATATCAGTTTCTGATCTAAAGAAAACTAGATTTTTTTTTTTTGCATAATATTTATATATAATTATTTCTCCCCCTCCTAAATATGGAAAACCTAGAATGACAAAAATAGAGCAACTAAAGAACGACCAGACCCTTGTGGCAACCTGCCAGTCACAGATTTGTGGGAGTGACTTTGAGAGCCTCCAAACTTGGCTTTTGGTTGGTTGAAGTCTTTTTTTTTTTTATTTTTTTTAAACAGGTCTGAGGTATTAAAAAAATATCAAAAGAAAAAAAAAACAAAACAAAACCAAAATGAATCGGTGCATCCCCCCCCAGAAAAAAAGTATTTAATAAATATTTACGTAAGCTTGTAAGAACACCATATTTTCACCTTTTTTTTTTTTGGTTTTTGTTTTTTTGCGAGTATTTAAAATAGAAAAAAGTGAATTTTTTTTTCTTTTTTTTTTTGTTTTTAAGCAATGTCACCTTTTAGTACAGAACCAAACCCCACAACCACCCCCCCCGTTTCGGTCTTTCCTGTCACCAACTCGTGTTTAAACCCAAGAACCCCCCCCCAAAGGTCCTGCCCACGGTGGGTTTTGGGGAGGGGAGGGGGGACTGGGAGGGCAGCGATGGGCAGGGGGTTGACACTGAAATTTGGGATGGGCAGTGGTGGCAATTTCTTCTGGCTGTTGGCAGTGTAGAGCCCAGCCTTCACCCCTGGCCAGCACCCAGGCACGAGGGGTGGGAGAAGGACCTTTCCTCAGCTACCTGGGGCAGGAATGGGGCGGCTCATCCTTCCCTCCTCCCACCCCGAGGAAGGGACGGGGTCGGGGCTGGGCTGGAAACAAAACAAAGACACTTGGTTTGTGTTGTGGTTTAAGGAACACTTATTTCTTGGCAAAGTACTGGGCCCTGGCGTGGCAGGAGGTGCTGCAGGCAGTGCTCGGAGAAGGCACGGGAGATTCTGCTGTGCGTTCTGAAAGGAAAGGAAAAGAAGAAACCAGCCCAGCCCACCCTTGTCCCTAAAACTCTGCTGCTCCCAGGGGTGGAGCCGGGCAAAGATGACGTTGTACAGCCAGTTACAACCAGGTTCTTTCTGCTTCCAACCGGGATGGAGGAGGGAAGGAAGGCAGTAGAGCTTCCTCCGGCCCTGCCTGCCCGGGGCCACAACCCTGGGGAAGGAACTCAAGCAAAGCAAATCCTGCCTCCTGCTCAGGGCCACGGGTCACCAGAGGGGCAGTTCGGAGCCAACAGGGGCCTCTGCTCAAAAAACAGGACTCTCCCTGAAAGGTTTCAAGGGGTGGAGGTGAGGCAGGACACAGGGTGAAGGAAGAGATGACCTCCAAAAAAGCAGCGAGGCCGAGCCTCCAGCAGCACCTTCTCTGGAAGATCTGCAGCCAACCAAGCAACTGCCACCTCCTCTGGCAAAGCAGCTCCAGGAAGTCAAAGGTCCTCCACTGGCCATGGAGCCTCCCCCCCTTCTATGGAATAATGAGACAACCTCTAATTCATCCCTTCCATGACTTGGGAGTTGGCCCAGTGTGCCCTCAGTGCCCCCTGCTCTCTGTTCAGCCTGGTGGGCACAGCTCTGAGGTTCCTCAGCAGTTCACTGGAGCTGCTACTCCAAGGCTGAAGGATTATTTAACCCAACAGCACAGAAAAGCCAGAATGGGCAGAAATCCCTCTGCTCTCGATGGCAGGAGCCATAAAACCCTGGCAAAGCTCTCACCAGGAGTTTCACAACCTGATCAAGAGCAGCAGAGAGGCCTCTCTTAAGATTCCCCAGGAAGGAGCCACATTTCTCACAACCTTGGGGTTTTTTTTTCCCCCCACCACCTTTTCACTGCCAGTTCACCTCCACCTTTGCAGAAAAATCGGAATCTTTTCCATCCAGCAAAGTTACAGCCAAGTCACCTTCATTCCTCATCTGCCAATTTGGAAACAGAGAGAGAAAAGTGTGTGTGGACACTCAGAGGAGGAGCTGGAAAGGCCAGGTACCATTTTTCAAGGTGGAAGACTGGTGCACATCCCTGTATCTCTCAACCTGCGAGTAAACACCTTCCCCTGGCTGGGTTTTGTTGTTTTATTTCTTAGTTTTCGCACTAGAGTGCTGACTGCCCCCATTTCCCACTGCAGAGTTCCTGGGAGCAAATCCCACGAGCAAAGAACAAACCCCAACGTTAGAAGAAAACCCTAAAAACCACGAGTGGGAAAAAAAAGAAAGAAAATAAAAGTCACAAGTGCAGCCCAGCCCCTCGGGCTGAGGGCGGGCATGTAAGACTACACCAACTCGAATTTTCCTTTGATCATGCATTTTGCAAAGTGAAAAACCCCCCCCAACAGACAGACACGCCTGGAGCCCAACTCTTGGAGAGGAAAGAACCTGGCTGCTTCACCCGGGCGAGTACCACTGAAAACGAGGGATGGAGATGGCACAATTTTTTTTGGCTTAGCCTCTCTCCCCAACACCCAGCATCGTGGTAACTCTGGTTCCCGCTGCTAAATCACGGTAAAAAAACAACAAAAAACCCCCCCAAAACAACAGAACAAAACAAAGGAAAACAAATAAAGCCCCCCAAAAAAACCACCCCAATGATATACGTATGAGCAGTTTGACACGAGGTGTGAGCAGTTACTGGTGCCGACGACGTCACACCGGGCGAGGGGCCGAGGAGGAGGAGGAGGAGGAGGAGGAGAGGAGGAGGGGGGGTTTCCAAGTTCTAAGGTCAAACCGATGTCTCCAGGCTGTGGAAGGGGTTCTCGGGCTCCGGGACGGAGAGCTCAGCTCGATCGCTGTCCACTGCATTGTTATTTCTGTTGAGGGCTGGAGGCCCGCCCGGGCTGCCCCCGCCGCGCGCCGGGAGCCCGTCAGTCTCGGGGTCGTCTTCAGCGCCGTCAAGGAATGGTGTTCGAGGCTCGTCTTCCTCCAGGATGAACTCCGGGTGAGTCATGAAGTTATGGATGGAGCTTCTGGATTCGGGTTTCTCGAGGCCTTCGTACAGGGAGCTACGGAACGCATTCACCACTTTGATCTGCCGGGAGCGCGGGGAGGGCAAAAAGAGACGGGTTAGTGACGGCTCCAAGGGGCCAGAGCGCCCGGGAGAGAGGCCAAATAAAGAGTGAGGACACGGTAAAAAAAACGAAAAAGCACGACCACGACAACAAAGTCACCACCACTGAGCACACAGCTGGGTCAAACTGAGAGGTTCTATGGTGAACTAGGAGGGCCAACATGGATCAGACTCAGGCACTGGGTGTGTGATGGGGGGGATCAACCGACTACGGGGCGACTTCAGAAGCTGCAAGAAAAGACACAGAACGACTCCAAACCCCGCCCCCAGATCGCTCCGGATGGATGGAAGCCAAAATGCATTAGTTGTCATGACGTGTGCACACGCGTTTCGTGGGGATGGACGAGGACAACAGGGTGGAACTACGACTCAAAAAAGAGGTGGGTTAGACAAACAGCGGGTTCAAAACACTCTACCGTGGGAGCCATGGGTGTGTTTGTTCTAGTTCACTGCTAGACCTAGGGAAAGGAATGGGCTTTAAAAAGGTGTCACCAACTTTTCAAGCCCATGGGAAGCACCAGATCCAAGCGGATGCCACGATCAGCTAACCCAGCTAAATGTGCACAGAGGAAGCCAGATCTGTATGAGGTTCCCCCACACAGCTGGAGCTCTGGATCCTTCCCTACACCAAAAGACCCAGTGGTTTCCAAAGGCAGCTAATTCTGTTGGGTGTTCTGCATGAAAACCACTCTCTTTGCTCAGAATCCCAGCCACGCTCCTGGGAAAACCACGGGGCAGCTCCCCCAAAAAGCCAATGTGCAAGCAGGAGATCCAGAGCTTGGTTTGGACAAACAGGGAATGGTTCTGCTCCCTCCACTGCACTGGAAGGGAGAGGTCTGGAAACAAGCCTGGATGGTGGCTTGCAGTGGATTCACTGCTCCCTCCAGACCCCGTGTAAATCCAGCCTTGAACCCTTCCAGCTCTTGCCCTCCCTTGCAGCTGTTAGGTCAGATCCAAGTATCAGATCCAAGGTCTCATGGAAGCAACAGAAGCCTTTGCTCTGTTAATCAGAGTTCATCTGGGACCAGGAGATCTGCTCAACTCCTCCTGTCCCACGGAAATGCCTCCAGACCACTGTGAGACCTTGTTCAGCCCCACTGGGAGAAGCAGGGCCGTCGATGACACCTCCCTGGGGCAGTGCCAGTCATCCTGCTCCATGGAAGGAGCACTGCTGCTCATCAGCCACCTTCACCTGCTCCCAGCACCTGAGGAACTCAGTCCCCACCCCATCCCAGTCCCCTGCCTGCTCCCCCAGTGTCCCCGTGGACTGAAGCTGGGGCACAAAAGGGAGGAGATCCACAGATCCCACGGGAGGGGTGGGGGAGCAGCATCCCTGTGCTACATCCCAGAGCTTCCCCATCACTCAGCCACTGGCCAAGGGAGTGGAGAACGTGCAGAGCTGGAGGGAGAATGATCCAGGTGCCCCCTGTCTGATGAGGCAAATGAGGAACCATGTGTGTTCTGGCCCCCCTCTGACCAGGCTGCAGAACGGTGGGGGAGCAGAGCCCACACCCCACGTCCTGCTGAGACGAGCTGGGTTTCACTGCCCACCTCAGCCCAGCCAGGCCAGGAGGGAGCTCACCAACCAGCACAGCCAGCAAGAGCCTCCTGGGGATCTCTGCTCTCAGCACCAGCAGCACTCACCAAACCAGACCAGAGAGGTTCCTCAGAGAGCCTCGTGCCTGGAACCCTGGGAGCTTGACCTGCAAGGTGTTCCAGGGCTCCTCTCACAGGGGATGCCCTCCTGAGTCCCCTCTGCACCTGGCTCAGAACGATGGTGCTGCACCAGGAGAGTGGCATCCCCGGGCACAGGCTCAGCACATCCTGGCTGGAAACAACCCCCCCCAGCTCTTGCACACACACACATGGACCAGCACACACACATGAGCTGGAGACACTGATGAGATGAGCGTGGGCCAGGTACCCCCTGGTGCTGGAGCACCAGCTGCCCTGCAAAAATGGAAGGTTGGTGGAGCTGGAAACAGAAATTCTGAGCTGGGTTTGCTGCACTAACACCACAGGAAGAGCCTGGGTGAGGTCAGTGGGAGTGCACAGGACCACACAGGCCACCTCCAATCTGTCACATCACCAGCACCTTGAGAACAGCACCTGCAATCCCTGACCCCTGAAACGCAGAATGCACTAAATCGAGTATAACCAACCCAAACAGGCCAAGGAGAGCCCAGGGACCTGCCAAAGCAACGAGGTGCTCAGCCCAGCACAGAGGTAGGAGCAGCTCCCCAGGAGCCCTCCCTGCCCCAGCACCTCAAGCTCAGCCTGTCTCTGCCCCCTCACTGCCTGCAGCTCCACCAAGGAGCTTCTGCTGCAGCTTTGCTCGGATTTTCCTCCTCCTTCAACCATCTCTGTCAGCAGCTGCTGTGAAAGGAATTCAGCTGTTCCCTTGTCAAAGGAACAGAACAGCGAGGAAATGTGTTCTGAATGAGCCAGGCAGTGCAAACAAAACCCAAACCCTCCCCTTCCAAGCTGGAAGCCCACCTCCCTCCCTGCTCACGCCTCCTCTCCACCTGGAAGCTTCACACAACCTCCAGGCTTGGAATTTACTCTCATTTCATACCATCCCTGCAACCCCCCCCCTGCTCCCATGGAGATGGGAGTTACATCCTCTGCATGAGGCCAGAATCAGCCCCACTGCTGACCCCTGGCTGTGCCCAGCTCCCTCACTCCAGGCCAAAATTCCCAGGGAGAGCAGCCCAGCTCTGCAAACCATCTCCAGAGGGTCATTCCCTGCCTCTCCACCAGCCCAGGAGGGACACAGCAGCCAGGCTGCCGAGGTCCAGCCCTGGAGAACTGATCCACAGGAGTGCAGTGGGAGGCAGAGGGACACCATGGATCTGTGTGGAGGGAAGAGGAGCTTTGGGAGAGAGGGGAAGCAGCAGAGGGAAACAGAGAAGTCCAGGCAGAAAACAGAGGCAAGACTTGGAGACCTGGGTTAGCTCCTGGTGGATTTGCTGCCTGGAAGGGCACGAGCTATCCAGGTTATCTATTCCCTTGCTGCAAATCTGGGAGGGAATTAATGCACAGGCTGCAAAAAACCTGCATTTTGGTCTTGCCATCCCCCCAGCCCACTACCCTGAGCCCCCCTAAGCAGGTTTTCTCCCATTAGAAAGTCTCAGTGGTGCCCAGATGCAGCCTGGAGCAGAGAGGCAGCTGTGCTGCTTCAGAAACACTGGGGTTAAACACAATCAAATCCAAGCACCAGAGTCAGCTAAACAGAGAGAAAACAAAATTATCCGAAATTCTCTCTCCTCCCCCACAGTGCATAAACAGTGGAGACTGAAAGCTATTCAGAAAGTCACTGAGGATATTTCTCTAATAAGAGGAGAACACGGAAAGTGACTGTGCAGTAAAAAAGCCAATTATCCAGGAGAGACACACAACCTACTCCCAGCCTGGCACAGCCTGCAGAGAGAACTCACGTTCACGTGCTCCCCCAGCCCGGACACGCAGCTCCCCACGAGCACAGAGAGGGGCTCTGCACCAGGCAGGGATTATTATTTTGGCCTGGAAACCCACTGCTAGATCCAGGATCCAGCTTTCCCACTGGAAAAAATCAGTGGTTTCCATCCCGTTTGCGTGCACTGAGGACCAGCGTGTGCAGGACGAGGTGGGCACTGAGGATGCTCTGGCTGCCAGGGGACCAGCAGAGCCCTGGGCTGGCCCCAGGGAGCCCCAGGGCAGCACAGGGCACACTCAGCTCTGTCCCACGTGCCATGCAAGCCCCCAGGGGGGACACACAGAGGCTGCTTGCTTCCAAACCAGCTCTGAACCAAGGGAGCAGCCCCGAGGTGTCACCACGGGCCAGCTGAGCCACGGTCGGGGCTGTTCACAGTCCAACCAACCTCCCACCCGTGGCAGGAGCAAATCCTGCTCCTCATCCCCCTTCCCCACGGCTCAGCCAGCCCTGCAGCACACTGGGGGGAAGGTCCCAGTGGCCACTCTGTCTCCAAACAGATATACAGCTGCAGGAAAGCAACGCCTCTGCCCACCCCTGCCCTCCTGGGGTGTCCCGGGGCCGGGCAGAGCCGCGGTGGAAAGAACCAGCAGAGTTTTGGGCTCAGTGTTGCCCTTCTCACAGCAGTGCTTTTTAGCTGCTCATGAACACACACGGCTCTTTGAACAAGAGCTGCCAATTTTTGCACCCCCTGGGGAGGGTGGACTCAAACGTCAGCCCTGCAAAGGAGGAGAAGAGGTAAAAAAACGGAGGAAGCAACAAGGACTGGGGGGGGGAAAGGACCAGAAAGGTCAACTTGTTAAAGGTGCAACAAAAGCATCAAAACCATGGGGTTTTTTTAACGCTTTCCCGCCCCATCCTTCATGTTGGGAACCAGTGTGCGAGTCAGGGTTTAGAGGGAGAGAGAACAGGCCGGGTTAGGTGGGTGCAGGTGCTCTCTGTGGTTATTAGAAGTCATGCATTGTAATAGACTATCACTCACTGCCCGCAGGAGGAGATGCAGCAGCAGCAGCAACAGCAGAAGTGGTGGGAGTGGAATTGACGGAGGAAAGAGCTACATGGGTTGGGCTAGAAACATTTTTTACATCGTGGTGCTGGCTCACGATGGAAGGCTGTCTCCTGAGGGCTCCCTGCAAAGAGGAGGCGCCGGTCTGGAATGTGTAAACTACGTCCATCTGCAAAGAACCAGAGAGTGAGATAGCGTCGCCTGGGCAGGGACAGGGGCAGGGGCAAGGGAGGGAGGGGAGCAGGGAGGTCGGGCAGACACACACAGACAGGAAGGAAGAAGGAGGATGGACAGGTGGGGAGGAGGGAGGAGAGAGCCCCCCCCACCCCATAAGCCCCCACCGGGTTGGGCTGGTGTTCCAGAGGGGTCACCTTCCAGCCTCTGCCCCTCCCACGGGAGCGAGAGCAGCAGGAGATACCTCCCCACCACCAGAGAGCCCGTGGTGGGAGGGAGTGACAGAGGAAACACCTGGGGTTATCCCAGCAGTCTGCAGCAGGAGCAGAGGAAGAGAGAGGGTGGGCAGAGGTGCGAGCTGGCAGCCAGTGGGTCCAGAAAACTGCACTGGCAAAGGGTTTTTGTGGTCCCTGGGCCCCCGTGGGATGTTCAGCTGGGGGGGCTGAATCGTGGCACACACCATGTGCCTACAGCTGGAGACATTGCAGCCCCTCTCCCAGGCTCAGGGCTCTGGAGCAGAGCTGGAGGGGGCAGGAATGCAGCAAGAAGGATCCTTGGTGGGGGGGGCACAGTTCTGTGGATGTGCTCCAAGGGCAGAGGAACCAGGAAGGATCCAGGTGCCACCTTGGCTTCCCGGACACTTTGCAGCTGGAGTGTCCCCAGCCCTGTGCAGGGAGCACGGCTCCTGTGGCAGGGACACCTCCTCCAGACCCACGTGAAGCTCTGGCTCACGCTGCAGGGACTTCACACACGGCTTCGCTCCTTCCCCACTCTGATGCCCCTCTTCTCCCCAGTGCCCCAGGCTGGGCTGTGGGGAAGAGCCCTGTGCTCTCATTCAGACACACTGAGTGGGGACAGAAGCCCCCAGATGCTCAGGCTGGACCTGCCTGCTCTGCTCAAGGGCACCACAGCCAGGAAAGGAGTCCCTAAAGAGGCTCCAGGATGTGCATCCAGGAGCGTTTCTCATGTTGCAAGAGCAAGGGCTCATCTCAGCCCAGGTCAACCACACCTGGGAGGCTCCAGGCTCACCTGGCTGCTGGCACTGCAGCCCTTTGCACCTACCAGACCTCCAACACAGCTGGACTGCTTCCAAAAGAGCCTGGAGCTGCCAGCACATCCTTCATGTGAGGGAACCAGTGGTTTCCAGCACTGCCCAGGCTCCCCAAAGAGCCCTTCACTGCTCACAACGAGCAGGGAGTCAAGTTTGAACTCCACCTTGAAAGCATCAAGAAGGCAACATCTCCCAGAGGAGAAGGAAAGTTCCTGTGGCACAGCTCCAGCCCCTGTCTTGAGGCCTTTTTGCTTTTCTCTGCCTGTCAGAGGGACAGAGAGGAGGCACAAAGGCAGCCCAGCAGCCCTGTGTGCCAGGGACACTGGGACATGGAGCTTTCCTCCACGGGACAGCTCTGCCCAGGCCTCCAGGAAAGGTGAGGGGCTTTGACCCTGCCCTGCCCCGTCTGGCGTAAAAAAAAAACACCCTTTCAGGAAAAAAAAAGAGTGTCAGGGAAAAACAGCTGATGTAAAAAGCATATTAAGAGAGAGATTGTCCTCCCCTTCTGTGCTGTGGGGCCAAGAGCTCCCGGTGAGGAGCACAGAGAGCTGGCACAGAGGGGTGGCAGCAGCCAAGGGGCTGTCGGGAAGAAAAGAGCAGCCAAAGAGGGAGACCAGAGGGGGTCTCGTGCAGAATGAGCACATCCCTCACTGGGAACAGCATCCCAGCAGTGACCAAGGGCAGCTCCAGTGCTGACCCACTGCATGACAGAGCCTGGGTGGCTCCACGGACCCCCCACACCTTCCGAGCCACCAGCAGGGGCACGTCCAGCCTCCTGCAGACCAGCAGGACATGGTGCTCTGCATCAGAGCAGCCTCCCCCCACCCCGAGATGTCCCCAAGGCCAGGCTGTCCCGGTTCCCCAACCAGGACAGACCCAGAGAGGCACAGGTGGTGGGAGAAGTCTGGCCCAGGAGGCGATGGCATCCTCCGGGCAGCAGCAGTCACCTCTTTCCAGAAAGATCCCCTGGAGGGAAAGAAGGAGAAAGAGAGAAGGAAGAGCCCCCCAGACCCTGCTGCCCCCCTGTACCTGTGTCTGTATCCTGTTGAGACCCCTGAACCACAGGATCTGCCCACGCCGCAGCTCCATCTCGGCGTGGTCGATCTCGTCCACGTCTTCAGGCAGCTCCTCCTCTGGGATCTCCTCCTTGGTGATGCCATGCCCAGCTTCCTTCAGGAACTTCAGGTGGCTGGTTGGGACAGTGCAGATCAGCTGGGGAGAGACAGGGAGAGCAGCTGCTTAGCCTGAGGCCATGGGAGCAGGAGCCCACCAGCCAAGGGGAGCATGAGCTGCCCGGACCCAGCTGAGAGACACTGGGATGCAGCAGAGACATGTCACTGCTGGATGTGTCCCTCTGGAAGCAGGATGGGAGTGAGGAGTGGATTAGCAACCCCCTCTCCTCACTGCTGGTGTGGGATGGAGCATCACCCCCTCCCAAAGCTGCCTTGAATAAATACTGGGGAGAACAAGGGCAGGGAGGCAGCGGGAGGGAAAGACACGGGGCAGGTTTGGGACACTGGCTCTTACCTGGCCCCACAGGAGCTCCCCAACTCCGATAAAAATACACCAGAACCACTGGCTCAGGGTGAGCCCAGAGCAGCTGAAAGGCTTCCCACCAAACTCCACGATGATGATCTACAGCACAGGAGAGAAGAGTCACACACTGGGGAGCTCCCAGGGCTGCAGGGCACAGCCATGGCACGAGAAGGCCCCCTCAGGCCACACAGCTTTTCCCTCCTTCCTGGGATTACAAGGGGAACAAGGACCTCACATCTAGGCTGGGAACTTTATGGGACACCAGAGGTACCTCCCAACACACTCTAAGACCCCAAATCACAGAATCACAGAATGGTCTGGTTTGAAAGGGATCTTAAAGATGACCCAGTTTGAACCCCCTGCCACGGGCAGGGACACCTTCCACTAGATCAAGTTGCTCAGAGCTCCATCCAACCTGGCCTTAACCACTGCCAGGGATGGTCCAGGTTTTTTCATCACCAAGAAGCAGCTGGAGGAGAACCAGGGGCCGGGACAGAGCTGTGGGCACTGACTGCAGCAGACACGGGTCCTGCCCATGGCACCAGCCCCTCCCAGCCCTGGCACCCCATCGCTGCCCCCACAGCCTCACCTGGGCTGCAAAGGTGCCCAGCACCACGGTGCAGAAGATGGGGTTGCGGTAGATGGACTCGAAGACGTTCCTCTCGCCGTGGATCTTGCGGGCGTTGATCTCGTTGAAGAGCTGCATCATGACGAAGGTGTTGAAGACGATGGTGTAGTGCTCGGTGGGCGGCGAGTGCAGCGGCGCGTTCCGGCCGCTGTCGATGTCAAAGAACCTCTCCCCTGAGCACACGAGGGGGTTTGGGGAGGGGAAGAGAGAGGAGAGGGTGAGACCCTGCCCCTCACTTCTGCTCTGCGCTGGTGGAGGTGGAATTAGGACCCCAGGATCACCGGAGATCTCCTGACCCGGCTGGAGTCCCCTGTGCCGCCCCCCTGAACCCTGAATTCCTCAGAAACGTTGAAAAGCCAAAACTGTCCGTGCACCCAGAGGTCTCCAGAGCAAAAATTCCTCTTCACATCATCCCTCTGCTTCCCACCCATCATTAAATAAGCCCCATCATGGACAACATGGGGTCACTGAGTGACAGCTGAGACCGAGGGTCCCCTTGGGGAGGAACGGTGGATTGCAGGCAGGGCTGGGGCTCTGCCCCTTTCCCTTCCCCCCCACCATTCCTTGGGGCTCCAAGCTCACCTGCAAAGAGCAGTGTGAAGATGATGGTGAGCTGGTACACGGCGTGGCCCAGGATGTTCTTCATCATGGTGCGGGAGATGAGCGGCTTGTTGCGGCCGTAGGGTTTGCGCAGCAGCAGCGACTCAGAGGGGGGCTCTGTGGCCAGGGCCAAGGAGGCGAAGGTGTCCATGATCAGGTTCACCCACAGCATCTGCACAGCCTTCAGGGGGGAGTCCTGCAGAGAGAAGAGTGAGGAGAACACGTCACACCACTGAAAAAAACCCTCTTTTCCCTCCTCGCTCCGCAGGAGCCTCCACCCTCCTCCTGAGATCCTCTCCAGGATTGCACTTGGACATTTAACACCTCCTTAAAAACACTCCCAAAGCATTTCTCATTTGCTCAAAGCTCCCTACATGGGCTCACAAGGTGGCTCCTGCTCACAATCCACAGAAAACCTGTTAAATCCCCCCAGGCTTCCTGCCCTGTGCCCGTACCTGGGTGATGCAGGCGCCCGTGAAGGCCACGATGACGGCCACGACGTTCACAGTCAGCTGGAACTGCAGGAACTTGGAGATGCTGTCGTAGACGTTGCGGCCCCACATGACGGCCTTGACGATGCTGGTGAAGTTGTCGTCGGTGAGGATGATGTCCGAGGCCTCCTTGGCCACGTCCGTGCCCGCGATGCCCTTGGGGAGCGGGGAGAAGCGGTGGGGTGAGTCACGGAGAGAGGCTCTGTCTCTGCCTGGCTCTGCTTCTTCCCCAGAAACAGCCCCCAAAAGGAAAATCCGACAGAGCCAGAGCAGCCGGTGCCAGCCCGTGCTCGCCAACGCGCTGGGGAGAGAGCGGAGCTCCAAAGCAGCAAAGCCTCCAAGGACAGACACCGGCTCAGCTCCAGGGCTCTGAGTCAGCCCTGCCTTCCAGCCTGTGCCTCTGCACGTCCCAGACAGGGCCACGGCGCAGCAAAGCTGGAAAACAGCTTCCCCCTCCTGCCAGGGAACACGGGCACCCCAGGCTGGGCATCTCTGCTGCACGCAAGGGTTGGGATCCCAAACGAGGGAGAGGTCAGCAGCTGGAAATCCCAGTGCCTTCTGCCCCAGCCGGGGTGAGGGCAGCCCCCCCAGCCTCCCAAAAACCACCGGCAGCGTCTCCAAGGACACGGAGCCGGACGGGTGCCAGGCTGGCTGTGATTCCCACCACGGGCACACTGAGGCGCTCGTCCTGCAGTAATTAAATGCGCCGGACCGTGGCCATAATGAGCCCATTCCCTGGTGATTTCCCAGAGGAATTCTCTTGGGATTTGCCAGACCCCATCCCATCTCGGATCAGGTTGTTGAAGGGCACAAGCTCCAGAGGCACAGTCTCCTACTTCCTACTGCTCATCCAAAAGGCTCCAGAATTTCCTTAGATATTTAACACATTCCTAAAAACACTCCCCCAAAATTTCTCACTTGTTCAAAGCTCACAAGGCTCGACCCGGCACCTGGCTCCCACTCACATCCCTAAACTTCAAACAATCCATGGGAAACCCGTTAAAAACAACAGGTTTGTTTTCCTGCTTCATTCAGACAGGGCAAAAAAGAGCAGCAAACCAGGAGATCAGAGCTCTCCACTGTGAGCAAACTCCCAAAGCCAGTGCTTGGAGCTGGGGTGAAGAACTGCAGGGACAAACTGGGCAGCTCCCCTGCTCTGGGGGCTCTGCAAGCACAGTGTCACCTTCAGCCCAACAAGGTCCCTCCAGGTGGGACAGAGCCCAGCCCCAAGCCAGGCTCCCAGGGAATGGCTTCCCAATCCCTTGCTAACAGGCCAACACAATACATGAAAATTAAATCAAACCTCCAGAGGTTTCTTAGTTTTTAAGCCATCCTGTAGATTTGGAAAAGAGTTTCATTGGTCCGGAAATAATTTCAATGTTAGGAATAACCAAATATGCCATTAGTTTTCTCATCCCAGGAAGGAAAGGAAAACACCTGTGGCCTGTCCATACCATGGCAAAGCCAACGTCTGCTTTCTTCAAGGCTGGGCCATCATTGGTCCCGTCCCCGGTCACGGCCACCACCTGCCTCTGGTCACCAACGGTGCTGTCGATAATTCCTGACAGGGAGACAAGCAGCACAGAGAAATTAAACCCCAAGGACAAGGCTCCCAGCCTGGATCATGCTGGAAAAGCACCCGGGAAGAGCAGGATGAGCTCACCTTTCACCAGAGTGTGCTTGTCAGTGGGGGAGGAGCGGGCGAGCACCCGCAGCTTGGGCCAGATCTTGTCCAGCTGCTCCTGTTCCACCTGCGGGACAAAAATCCCTCTGGAATATTCTGCCCCACCAGAGAGCAAACTCCAGCTGGGACAGGACAGCACCTTCACCCCCAAGCACCCCGTGTCTGGCTGGGTGAGCATCCCAGCAGCTACAATTATCCAGGGAGAGGAGGGAATCCCACCGGGATTCAGGCCACCCACACCCTCTGAAGAGCAGCGCCCAGGGCTGTTTCTCCCACCTCTCCCTTCTCGTTGCGGATGAGCCGGTTGAACTCCTTCCCCTCCAGGCACAGGAAGTCCTCCCCTGGCAGCAGGATGCCACACTTGGTGGCGATGGCACGGGCAGTGTTGATGTTGTCCCCTGTCACCATCCGGACGGTGATCCCCGCGCGCTGGCACTTCTGGATGGCATCTGGCACCTGGGGGACAAGGACAGGGTTTGGCACTGGGTATCCCAGAGGAGCCAGGCAGCTCCTCTCCCAGCCTCCCTAAAAGGATCTGGAAAGGGGCTCTGGCGGGGTGAGGAACCTGCACCCACTGCCCCAGGGGGGAAGGGAACCTCGCTGCCACCTCCCTGTCACACCACAGCACTGGGTGCCAAGGCATTGCCAAGCCAACCATAAAAACAGGGGCATTTCGCCCCCCTTCCCCACCCCACCCCACTCCAGCAGCACTAATGGGTTTATCCATTATGGAACGGTGGGGGAAGAGGATGTTAGTGAGGAATTAGCAAATTGAATCAAGGGCCTCCAGAGCCGGTGCAGACGGGGCATCTGTAATGCAATTCCCAGAGCCAGATACTTGGACATCTAATCAGGAAAAGATCCAGGCAAGGCAGGAGCACGGGGGCAAGCTCCAAATTGGAATGCAGAGGCAGGAATAGGGGGGTTATTGCATAAGCCCAGCTGCCAGCTCGGCACCCCCATGGTGGGTGCAGCAGCTGAGAGGGGCAAACCAGCTCCACCAGCCCTGTCCTTCTCCAACACCCCCAATCCCTCCTCCGTGGCGTTCCCATCCACCTTTCACCCACGTGGAACCAGCCTGGCTTGTGCACAGACCCCTGGAGCAGTTGGGGTGGAAAGTTTGGGTGGAAACACCCCGTCACCAGGTCATTTTGTCCAGGGGTGGGAGAGAAACGCCAGCAGCAGGGAGCTGGTGGTGTGGGGCACTCCAGGGATGGACACAGAGGAGGTGCCTGGGCTTCCTAAGGGTCCTGAGCAGCTGGGAAAGGGGTCCCTGGTGCTGGAATGGTGCAGGATAGCTGGGGCAGAGGGGGGTCAGTACCTCTGGCCGCACAGGGTCCTCGATGCCCACCACGGCGATGCAGGTCAGGTCAGACAGGATCTCGTTCTCGCTGTCCCAGTCGGGCTCAGGGTCCCCAGGGAAGTCCCGGAACGCCAGGCAGATGGTCCTCAGCCCGTGGCAGGCCATGGGCTCTATCACCTTCTTCACCATCTCATCCCGGTCCTTCACCTTGAACACCCGGGGGTCGCCGTTCTTGTCCAGGATCTTGGTGCACCTGAGGAGCGGGAGGAGGACGAGGGTCACCACTGGTGGCACGTCCCCCTGTCACCCCCACCTGCAAAACAGGGGCGTCCCCCAACCCACGGCTCCCCCCAGCTTCCCCAAAGCCACCCAAAACCAGCTAAACCCTCTGCAGGGCAACACTTCCCAAAAATCACCTCCCCTCTCCACCCCTCACCCCGCAGCTCCCCCAAACACCTCCCCGGGGCAGCGAGAGCCCGAAGCCCCCGGGATGGGGCGAGGGGGGGACAGTTACTTGCGGAGGATGATCTCGGAGGCGCCCTTGCTGTACATGCGGAAGCCGCCATTGCTGTTCTTCAGCACGGTGCTCATGGACTTGCGCACGGAGTTGAAGGTGTAGACCTTGTAGAGCTTCTCCTCGGGCACCTCGTTGCGCACGGCCTGGTAATCCTGCTTCAGGTCCAGCACGAAGCCCAGCAGGGCGCACTCCGTCTTGTTCCCCACCTGCCGGGGCAGCCCCCCTTCCTTCTCGGGCGGCTGGAGAGGGGAAAGGAAAGGGAAAAAGCGATGCCAAACCTGGGCATGGAGCTGCAGGGGACGCACACAGGGTGGCGTTTCTCCAGCTCACCAGGATCTTGGACGTGTAGGCCGAGTTGATGGCGACGCCGTGGACGATGAGGTCCAGGATTTTGGGCAGGATGGCTTCGGGGTCGGGGATCTGGCGGTAGTGGGTGTCCCCCACGTAGGCCTGCACCACGGTCATGCGGTTCATGGTCAGCGTCCCCGTCTTGTCTGAGCAGATGGCCGTGGCGTTGCCCATGGTCTCGCACGCGTCCAAGTGCCTCACGAGGTTGTTGTCCTTCATCATTTTCTGCAAGGGGCACCCACGAGAGGGAAGGTCAGAGCCGGCAGCCCGAGTCCCCCCGTGGCACCCCCAGCGACCCCGCGGCGCCGCGGTCTCACCTTCACGGAGTAGGCCAGGGAGATGGTGACGGCCAGCGGGAGCCCCTCGGGCACGGCCACCACCAGCACGGTGACCCCGATGATGAAGAACTTGACGAAGTACTGGATGTAGATGGGGGTGCACTCGGCCAGCCAGGGCCGCTTCTGCACCCCAAACGTGTCGATCACGAAGTACAGCACCAGGATGATGACGGTGATGGCCGACATGATCAGCCCTGGGGACACACGGGGCGGAGTGAGGGGGATGCAGGGCACACAGGGGATGGGGACAGCCCTTCTCCACCAGCTCTGGGGTGGTGGCTCGTGCCAGGCCATCGCCACTCACCTGCCTTCCCGATCTGCACCGCCAGGCGCGTGAGCTTCCCTTGCAGCACAGACTTCTCCTTCTTGGGCACCTTCACCTTCTTCTTCTCCTTCTCCTCATTTTCCACCCCTTCCTGGCTCTTCAGGGGCTGAATTTCTAAGGCCACACCATCCTGAGTTTTAGCTACAGCCCAAGGGCAAAATAAGACACCACGTGTGAATAGGAGAGAGACCGGGAAACCCTGGAGGACACCACTGAGAAAGATGGTGGTGGGAGAGAGAGAGAGAGAACCCAGACCAAGAACCATTCCCGGCGACACACGCATCCGAGCACATGGAAACTCCGTGTCCCAGGGCCCTGCCACCTCTCTATGGGGCAGTTTTGTGTCACCTACCCCAGCCCATGGATAAGGGATCCTCAGAGGTGACACTGGCACTGGGCACAACCCTAAGGCAGCGCTGCAAGAAACCCTCTGGCCAGGTTTTGGGGTGGAGACTGGATTCATCCAGCCTCTAACCCTGCAGCAGACTGGGAGCGCTTTGGGCTGACCCCAGAGGTGCTCCAGTCCCCCCAGTCCCTTGCTGATCATCCCCACTCCCTCCCAGTGCCACCTCTGCAGTGCCCTGTGGGCAGCTCAGCAGGAATCACTCGCCAGGGAAGTGACTGAGGGGGTGAGATGGAGGGGACGGTTAGAAATTTGGATGGAGATTGAAGAGGAGGGAGCCAGCTCCTGGAATCCCAGCCCTGAGCCATCCACCACACGTTTAGGACCCGAGACAGCCAGGCTTCCTGTGCCTACGACTGCTCTAGTCCAGCTGAAAGCCTGCACTGGGGAAACCCAAGTCTGGAAGCTTTGGAGAGGGATGGGAAGAGGGTGGGAATCCCCCTGAGAGGCTCCTCCTCAGCTGTTGGAGCTGGAGGAGCAGCAGTGGCCCCATTGCTGCCCCGGGACCTGTCCCCTCCTGGCTGCTGCTGCTCGATGGCTCGAGACACCCCAGAGCTCACGGCAGCTCCACATCGGACACCTCCACGTCACAACAGACCCCACACGGACAGAACAAGCACCCGGACACAGTCTGACGGGAAGGAGGGAAACTCAAACTGCTGAGAGGAGAGAGAAAGAGAGAGAGAGAGAGGTGGAGAGAGGTGCAGAAATGGGCTTCCTCCACAGCCTGCAAAGAACAGTGTGAGAAACACTGGTGAGGAGACGCTCACGGAGTCGAGGCCATGGGAGGAGAGGGTGCAACCATCACGTTGGCCAGGCCCCGTGGGATGATGAAATGGTGTTCCCATTTCATCTGGGAACACCAGGAAGGGACCTACATCTCTCCCCCAGCCACGTCCAAACACAAACCCTGGGAAGGGACAGCATCTGACGGGCCCAAGGGCTTCAGAGCCATCAAGTCACTGATGCAGCTCAAGGATGAAGTTCGTCCCGAGAAAGGGATGCTCTGCCAAAGGTCCAGGCTGCTGGAAGAGCCCTGTCCTCCCTGCACAAGGGCTTTTCCCCACACAGGGACAGCGTGGCCATGGGGGGAGCCGGTCAGGTTCATCCCAGGGTGCACAGCCCCACTCTGGGGTGCCGGGGGGCACCGCGATGCCGTGCCAGGGCCACCGGCCACGGGACCATTGCACCCTCTCCCAGGACAACGAGGCGAGAGTCCCGCCGGAGCAGCAAAGAGCACAGACTGATGAGAAGAAGGAAGGAAGGAAGGAAGGAGGAATGCTCAGTAGTTAGTGTGGTGCTGGTTCAAAGGATGGAGAGGCTGGTTACCTTTGTTGCGGTTTTCGGGGGCTCCGCTTTTTTTACCTGTTCAAAGAGAGAAAGGGTGGGGGGCTCAGCACGTGGACCCACACTCACCATCCGGCTGGGGGGGACAGCCTGGGATGGGCCCTGCTCCGAGGGGCCGCTCCAGTGGCATCCATGGCCCTGGGCTCAGAGCCCACGGTCACCCTCCAGACCCTGCACATGCCTCGGTCCACAGCTCGCGGCCCTGGGGAGGCTCCGGAGCTCCCCGGCTCCCCCAGGGACCCCAAACCCAAGGGCTCGGACTTCCCCACCTGCAAAGCACCCGCCACGACCCCCGTCAGCGCCTCGGAGGGTGCAAGAGGTGCCTCAGACCTTTGAGGAGAAGAAACCCCCCAGCAGAGCTTGACCCCCTGCAGCTCCAGGTCCCTTCCTGTCCCGCTGCCATCGGGTGCAGGTGGATCCACACGGGAGGTGTGGATTTGTCTCCCACCACGGGCAGCACTAGACCCACAGCAGAGGGTTCTGACCCCAGGGTCTGTGGTGGGCAAGGTGTGCACGTGGGGGTCCCCAGTGGGGAGCACAGGGCAGCTGCAGCCTGAACAAGGGGTTTGTCCCCTACCATCATCCCCCAGTTCCACAGCGGGGACTCCCTGGCCCACTCTGCCCCCAAATCCAGGTTTGCTGTGGGGCTGAGTGACAGAGCTTGAAGGCTGGGAAAGCACCAGGCATTGCTGCCCGGGTGCCCAGCGAGCTGCTGCTCAGCTCCCACAGCAGTGCCATGCCCGTGTCACCTCGTCCTCCCACCTCCAAGCTGGCACCTGAGCCCCAGGAGCTCCACAGCCCCCAAAGGCCGGCGATCCGAGCGAGCAGAGCTGGAGGAACCCGGCAGGCACAGCCCAGAGCTGGAACGGCTGCCAGGAGAGCCCAGGAAGCCTCTCCCTGCCTGGCATCGCCTCCCGGGAAGGGCTCCCTGGCACAGGGACGCCTGAGCAGCCGGCAGTGCCAGCCAGCAGCTCCCTCCTGCCAGCTCCTTCTACCTCATGGCAGCTCCTGGTGAGCCCAAACCTGCCGAGCAGGGGCTCAGGGACACGGGAGAACAGGAGCTTCCCAAGCCTGGCTGGTCCCAGTGCTGGTATCGGAGCTGGCACAGAGCAGGGCAATAAGCAGCAGGAAAGCATTCGAGCTCCAGCACCATCAGGAACACCTCAGCCTGCCTGGCTGCTCTCCCACCCCAGCACACAATCCCTCCTGTCTCTCCTGCCATCCTCTGCCTCATCTCCCTCCCCAGGGAGCTCAGGGAATGCCAGCAGAGATCCTCAGCCAAGTCCTCAAGGTTCTGGATGAGCCACCAACACCCTGTGGGCAACCAGGACTCACCTTCCCCCAGCAAGGAGCACCGTGGGCAGCACCACCAGCCACCTTTCCCTCTGATCCTCAATCCCCCCAGCCCACAGCTCCAGGCTGGATCCAGCTGGGGACGAGAGAGCTGGAGCCATGTCCAAAAGAGCCAGGGAGCAGAGCCTGGGTGCACGGGGGGCTTTCCTCAGGCAGCACCAGCCCCACGCTGTGGGTGAAGGGGCACAGGGAGGGACCCCCCACCTCGAGAGCTCACCATATGTGCCCAGGCCACAGGCACTGACACACAACTGCAGCCCAGGGGTGTGGGAGCTGCTTGTGGCACACTGGTGGTACTTCCCAGGGAAGGGAGAGAGGCCAGAGGAGGGAATAGGCGGGTTCAGGGGATCTCCTTACCTTTCTTCACTTTCTTCTCCTCGTCTCCTTCTCCCGCGCCCAAGAGAGTGAAGATGATTCCTGTCTGGGAGTTGATGCCCACGGCAGTCACCACCATCCTGCCAGAGCCCTCCATCACGTGGGTACCTGGCACAGCAGGAAGGTCATGGTGAGACAGGTGGGACAGGTGGGACAGCAGTTCCCATCTCACACAGTCACAGGATGGTTTGGGTTGGAAGGGACCTGAAAGCTCATCCTGTTCCATCCCCTGCCACGGGCAGGGACACCTCCCACTAGACCAGGCTGCTCCAAGCCCCATCCAACCTGGCCTTGGACACCTCCCCAACATCAGGAGATCTCCAAAACCAACCATCTCTCCATCCCACCCCTGCACTCACCCCACTGGGACCCTCACCTGAGAGCAGCATGGGGTCTTTGTCCATGGATTTCTTGACTTGGTCTGACTCCCCAGTCAGCGAGCTCTCATCTATTTTCAGGTCATTGCCCTGGATCAGGATCCCGTCTGCTGGCAAGAGATCACCTGGGACAGGAGCACAGAGGGGGATCAGCCTGGTCTGGGCAGCCACTGCTCACCCCTGACTGCCCCACCCCGTGAGGAGGCTTCAAAAGGACCCAAAACTCAGCCCCAGACAAAATTTAGAGGGAGGAGAAGCAGCAGGACCCAAAACTCAATCTCAGACCAAGCCTAGAGGGAGAAGAAGCAGCAGGTGGGTTTTTTAAGACAGACAGGTACAATAAGATGATATCCAATAGCTCCAAAACCCTCACTGATGCATGGAAAGATGAGGATTTTACTCAACCAGACAGTGCTTCCCCATCCAGTTTTAATAAATCAACACCAGATCCTTCCCAAAGCTCCTGATACATGCAAACCATTACAGGATCCACCTTCCAACCTCCAAGGACGGAAAAAACCCCATGGGAAAACAAACTTGATGTTGGATCAGTCTCCTTCCTGACAGGAGCTGCATGGGGTGAATATTATCCCTGGTAAACAAGGAGCAGGACCTAATTTATCCCAAAGGCTGCATCTCCTTGCTAAGGAAATATTCATGAACATCTCCTGGCTAAGGAAATGTTCACCAACAAGGACATGGTTGGGAAAACGAATCATTTTTGAGAACAGCAGGTCACTAAAGCAGCCCAGAGCTGTGCACAGAGCCTGGCTTAGCTCTGCCAGCCCAAGTCCAGGTGGGCCAGAGACAAGGGGAGTGGAAGCTCCATCACCTCCACTGGAGCATCTCCCATCACCATGGGGGCTTCGAGAGAAAGGAGGAGCCAACACTTCCCCTCAGGGTAGAAGGGCTGGAGGAGCAGAGGAGGAACTGCTGGGCTCCTGAGGGGGAGGACACACCCCAGCCACCCCCCGAGGGGCAGGGCAGACCCCCAACTCACCGTACTTGATCTGCGCGATGTCTCCCACCACGATCTCGGCCACCGGGATCTGGATCACCTGCCCCTTGCGGATCACCGTGAACTTCTGCTCCTGCTCGATGCGGCTCTGGAGGCCCCGGAACTGCTTCTCCTTGCTCCAGTCGTTGAAGGCGGTCACCAGCACCACGATGATCACGGAGAACAGGATGGCTGCCCCCTCGATCCAGCCAGCCTGCGCCTCGCCCTCGTCCTCCACGCCGCCCGTCGACTGCCCGCACACTGCCCGGGGGAGAGCTCTCGTTTGCACACCCAGACAGGTTTGCACACCCAGGCACACTCATTTGCACACCCAGGCACTCTCACTTGCACAACTAGACACTCACTTGCACAACTAGACACTCACTT